TTTTAATTGGTTTTTCTCAACCAAAATTGTCTATGATAAAAAAATTGAAAAACGTTACTAAAAAAATGTTAACTATTTATGCAACAAGTTACAAAATGAGCGTGTTTTTTACTAGACGTGTGCAAAAAACAGTCATTTTGAATCGTGTTTTATACAAGATTTTTTCCAATTTGGTTGTGAAAAAGCATAGGCATCAAATTCGAATTTAAAATCTGTGATTTCAAAAATTTTCCAAAATCATACTAGGTCGTAGCGTTGTTATGAAAATAGTGCTATTTGTTTTGTTTTTAATACTTGATAAAATAATGTCATGTTTTATAACTAGTGATAAAATTAAACACATTTGACATCACAATGGTTGCTTTTCACAACAAAATTGGAAAAAAATAGTTTACCGCTAACGGAATAAAACTTATACCTATTCCGAAAAAAAGTCTTAGGCTAACTTTCAGGAGCACATGCCCCACCTTGCCCCCCCCCCCATCAAACGACGCCTATGAACAGGGTTTTATATTTTTTTGGTTAAATTCTACGAAATTTTTGAATAAACTCATATCCATAATGTGACAAAAAACTACAAATTTCTACAATTTAAACATTTTGAAATATAAACATTTGTCCATTTGATGCCTACTGATAAAAAAAGATGTTTTGTTACTCAATTTTTTATAAACCTAGAAATAACAGGCACTYGCAAATCGTAACTGCGTTTTTTGAGTTGAAATAGGTCACAAACATTTAATTTCTCTATAAAAAACTAAAAAAAAATCTGCCTTACATGTATGTATTACATTACTATTATTTGAAATTTACTTGTTTGGTTATTTTTCCATAGACAACTTACTTATTTCACCAAAAAAAAAAGAATATTAATCAGAAAATTGAAGTTTGCTAGAAATGATATAATAAATAAACCAAAAGTATGGCTACTGTTAAATATTTTAAAAACGGTCAAATTGTGTACCTACTGAAATTTGTTAGGTGATTAGGAAATATTTTCCTTAATTGTGATTTGATCACATTTTAATTAAAACGACTAATTTTTTTTATTCGACAAAAAATATTTAAAATACTCTCAATTTACTTCTTACTCTAATGCGTCGTATAAAATTAATATTAATTTACCTTATTTCTCCTAATATGTATTTTGATTATTGTTTGCAAATTTTATCTCATATATTTTTTATTTTTAGTTGACCAATTAGAAGAAATATTATTTCATAAGAGAAAGTTGTCAAAGTTCCCAATTCATTGTGTTTTTAGGTACCTATTAGTTAAATTGGTTACAAATTGCATAATCAGTTTTATTTGCTTTTTTGTAAAAATAATTTTTGAACAAGCTTCCACTGGTATATTTTTTAAACACAGTGGAGCTTCGATTTCCCGAGCCCGAGCATTAATTTTTTCCCTATACACATGTCCCCCCTTAAACGACGCCTATGAACAGGCATTTATATTTTTTTTGGTTAAATTCTACGAAATTTTTGAATAAACTCATATCCATAATGTGACAAAAGACTACAAATTTCTAACAATTTAAACATTTTGAAATATAAACATTTGTTCATTTGATGTCTACTGATAAAAAAAGATGTTTTGTTACTCAATTTTTATAAACCTAGAAATAGAAATAGAAATTTGCACTAGCAAATCGTAACTGCGTTTTTTAAGTTGAAATAGGTCACAAAAAAATCTGCCTTACATGTATGTATTACATTACTATTATTTGAAATTTACTTGTTTGTTTATTTTTCCATAGACAACTTAGTTATTTCACCAAAAAAAAAGAATATTAATCAGAAAATTGAAGTTTGCTAGAAATGATATAATAAATAAACAAAAAGTATGGCTACTGTTAAATATTTTAAAAACGGTCAAATTGTGTACCTATTGAAATTTGTTAGGTGATTAGGAAATATTTTTCTTAATTGTGATTTGAACACATTTTAATTAAAACGAATATTTTTTTATTTGACAAAAAATATTTAAAATACTCTCAATTTACTTCTTATGCGTCGAATAAAATTAATATTAATTTACCTTATTTCTCCTAATATGTATTTTGATTATTGTTTGCAAATTTTATCTCATATATTTTTTATCTTTAGTTGACCAATTAGAAGAAATATTATTTCATAAGAGAGAGTTGTCAAAGTTGCRAATTCATTGTGTTTTTAGGTATTAGTTAAATTGGTTACAAATTGAATAATCAGTTTTATTCGTTTTTTTGTAAAAATAYTTTTTGAACGAGCCGCCACTGGTATATTTTTTAATACAGTGGAGCCTCGATTTCCCGAGCTTTAATTTTTTCCTACACCCGTCCATGCAACTCAGATACCTAATCGAAAAATCGAGGCTCCACTGTAATTTAAAAATGAATTTTGTTACATATTTATTCGTATAATTTTATGACATACAAGGGTGAGAAAATGTGAATTGTCGGTGTCTGTAGCAGCAAAATGCCATAGTGGTTATTTAGTGAGTATTTGTGCATGTGTATGGCCGTCGTAAGTGAAACGCCAGGTGAAGAACTGAAGAAGTGACATCCAGCCGAGAACCGAGCAAGCGCAAGCACAGCTGTCGCTTTTGGAGAGCTCCCAGGGGAGTCTATGGGAGGGTTTAGGACGAGTCGATCCTTGAACACGAGTTTCTGATTGGCCGCTTCCAGCCAGATACATTCTTATTGGCCAATCGAATCATCCTACAGCCTCTTTTGCTCGTCCTCTGCCCTGGCCTCCTAATTATGCAAATGGCCCTGCTCACCTAATGTTGCCACCATCAGTCTCTTGTTTGCGCTTTTCCCAAAACTACCAAGCCAAAGTTCAACCAGACATCAGTTTTCAGCCTGCAGATTGCCTTTTGATGCCCCAAACATAACGGCTACGAGCTACAAGTGACGAATCAAACAAAACGTGGTGTGAATGAACATTTCTTAACTGATTTAAAATGTTTTTCATTAATGTGATGTTGATGACTTGCGGCGACTGTTTTAGTGATTTTAACAATTAATTACCTATCATCTTTATGCTGTATTAGGTAAGTGCACACAAGAAAACATTTAAGATAAAATCGCACCTTTCACCACAAAATTAATAACGCTTATGAGATAAAAACGCGATAAAAATTATCATACACGCAAATAATACCAACCTTTCAGCAAAATAAAAAATTCAAATCACACGGTGTGATTTTCAAAAATGTAACTGAAAGAATTTTATTTTGAAAATTTTGAACTAAAGTTTTTGCCCATACCGTTTAAAGTTACTAAAAAATGTATTTCTTTTTTTTTATTTACTCTAACTATGGTTAACCGACAAAAACTGAATAAATGACAGTTAAAGTTTAAAAATGCAATAATTTTGTTTTTAAAAATTAAATCAAAAAGTAAATCTTAAAGATAACACTCTGTACTTACCTATATCAAAAATTTTTCTTATTTTAAGTTTTATATTAACAAAATCCAGGCTTTTAGTTTATTGTGATAAGGTTTTTATTGTTTTGTAATTTAGACTTTTTATATACCTACAGGATGTTCCAGATGCGACGATTGGCCGATAAAGTTATCCCAAAATATTACTAAAATAAACTAATCATAACTTGAAAAATTGTTGTTCATTTCAAAATTTCAAAAATATGTTAAATTACCAACAAATTTTATAGAAAAAAAACACGTCAAACTTGTGGTCTAAAAATTTGGGCTAAATAGGTTGGAAAATCTGTATTTTTACACATACGTAATTTTTTTTTTTCAAAATTTTACAAAACAGAAATTTTAATTAGAGTACTAACCAAATCTCTGTTCCAGATTAACAAATTTATTATTTTTCTACATTATTTAAAAAAAAATTGGTCTAGAACTTTAAATAGAATAAATGTTAATTTTTGCTAAATAACCCTAAAACATCTTGGGTTAATTGTTAATTAAATTATTAAATAAAAAAACTTTATTAGTTTGTCAAAACTTGTAGTTTGAATTTGAACTTGAAACATCTTGAAAAATATTTTTGAAAACGTTTAAGAACTGAATCAAAATTATCCAAAATTTCATATTACTTTTTTCAACCTAACCTACATTTTTTAACTCACTCGTGTCTTTATAATATAAATAAACAAGTTATTTCATCATATACATAATAAAAAAAACTTTATAGAATAATGTTAGGTAAACTATGCCAAATAAGCCTGAAACAACTCGCGGTAAAATAAAAAATAAATTGATTTTAGACATATTTTCATTTACATTTTCTGAACAATATGTACCTAAAATAATTTTTTGGTTTTAATAGATTTGTGTAAGTCGGGAAGCATCAATTCAAACCACGACTGTTGTCTTCTTAGGACAACTTATAAGCATATCAAAATAAAAAACACATTCTTTTAAATATGTACATAAAAATACATAAATAAAATTAAAAAAATAAATAATGTATAATATATATAATAATGAATATAAAGTATGGAACCAAGCGTTTTTTTTTAATTATTTGCTTCCAGAAAATAATAATTAAAGCAATATAACAAATGTGATCGTATTTTGAGAACGAAATCTTGTTTTGTTTTTGAGTCATGCAATTTTTTGAAATTTATTTAAAAAAAATTTTTTGAAAACATTAAATATAAAGCAAATAGTTGTATCTTTAGATCATAACTTTCATGAAAAAAATGGTTTTATAGTGGGTTGTCACTTAAAAAAAAATTTTTTTTTGAAGTAACTCAAAATAATTTTATTCTTGATAAAACATCACATTTTTATACTAGGTACTTTATGATTCATTAATTACTTTATCCAGTTTAAGCAAAAAACGTTTGGTTCCATACTTTTTATATTCAAAATGTTGATTTTGATTTGATAAATGTTCATCGTTGAACTAAAACTCTAAAAATTTTCGACAAATTTGCCTACAATACAAATAATTTAATATTGGGCCACAATTTTTTAAGTGGTTTCTCACTGTAACTAGAAACATTAAAATTAAAACATTTTGCTTTGAGAAATGGAGTCCTAAGTTCCAAAGTCTATCTCTCTCGGATTTACTCATTTTCAATTTTAAGTCAAAACTAAAAAAATTAAATGACAGGGAGGTATGTAAGTACATTTTTACTGCATTTTGAAATATTGTTATAAATATACATAAATGTAAAAAAAAACTCTCGAGTCTAAATAAAAAATTGCCGTAGTTATTTTTACTTTAAAACCGTTTTATAACTGCTGTAATAGAAGCTTAGAATTGGAAATAAACGTTATTATAAGCACGGGTTTTTCTCTTTTTTACTATGAATGTAAAAGTGAATCGCTAATCGGCTTGATGCGTCTATTTTTGTTATGATTCCTTTGACGATCAAACAGTTTTAGTGGCTTGAATATGAGCATTATTTTATACTTATATGCTCTATTAAAAATTTCAAATTATTTTTAAAGAAGCCTTTGGGCGTTGTAAAGTTTAGGATTTCACTATTTTTGTGATGAATTGAATTTTTTTATAAAGTCGTTAATGAAAGTTTAATTTTGCTAATGTGTCAAACTAAACTTTTTGCAGTCTCTGTGTGCAAACAAGCGCATTAATGGGGTATTTCTTGTGTTATATTGAAATGAGAATATGCTTAAGAGTTCTCATGGAGTTGAAAAACAAAAACTAGGGTTCGGTCGGTCTTTTCATTTTTAAACCCTAGCGTAACTCAAGCACTCAACCACTTAGACGTTTCAGAATCAATCAATATTTATATTAGCAATGCTTATACAATACTCGATATTCCATTGTCTGCATTACAAACACAATCTCAAAAATATTACAAATAATTGCAATTAGATTTTGTAATTTTAGTCCGCGGTCCGGTGTAACTTCATTTTTCCACTTAATGACTCGGTAAATTTATCGTTTAAATTGGGTGGCTTTGAAACATACATTTAATTGAGTAATGAGGTTATTAAGTATTTATCGCAAAGGGTAGCTTTAGTGAATACCGTACATGAACCCCTAGCACGGTATTCAGCTGATTTAACCCCATTAGAGTATTATCCCATTTCCGTTCACGCTCTCCAAACCCTCGGAAAAATCATCATTTTTGACTTATTCTCACGCACAAACAGCGGAAACTCGAATTTATTACTATCAAAAATTTGCTGCAATTTGCAAGGGAGTTGTTTAAACAATAATTAGTTGCTAATGAAAACACATTTTCTACAAGTCTGTGCCTAATCGAGTAGGGGATCACGCGAGGGCGAGGGTGCTGATAACAACATTTTAAGCTACGTGTGTGCGTTTTCTAACAAGGAAAATTAAGTGAGTTTTAATCTAATGTAATTCTCAACAAATTACAATGTCTCAAAGCTGCATCTCTCGAACTCAAGTTAAATGAAACGAAAAATTCCCAAATTTTTGGACCTTACCAGATGTCTTTCCTGTTTGCAAAAAATAACTTTCTATTCCAGTTGGTTAAATTTAAAATGAGGAAATGTGGCCTACTTTCGGCTAAAATTTACTAACATCCTGTTTCTTTGTATTTTTGGATTTTGCCTTTTAAAAAAACTTTTATTAGTCGATTTTGCTTAGTTTTAAAAATAAGAGGTTTTTTTTTGACACAAACATGCACTTTTTAGAAATTTATTATACAAAAACTAAGACAACTAGAACATTTTTTTTACGTCTGCGAAGAAGAATGTACAGAATTTAAAGCTGTAACAATTTTTTAGTGTTTTTCATTTGTAAAGATTAATAAATTAAGAAGTTTGTTAAACGTTAAATAACTAAATAATTGTTAATGGACACCCCATTTTCTATTTTTGCATCTAATAGATTAATAAATTGTATATGTAAAAAAATAAACTTTTAATTACTAGTATTGATAAATGAAAAGATATTTAACATTTAATATTAATTGTAGCAACAATGCCTATCAATATAATCAGCATTGTTGATACTATGGTAACCATAGCAATTTCACCACGGTCCACTTATCCGTTAATTTATAAAAGTCGTTATAAATACTGAAATTCGAATTATTTTATTGTAAAAATAAAGAATAATGGATTCAGTTTAACACAAATGTGATTATTAAATGATATTTTTTCCATCTCTTGTGCAACTGATCACTTTTTGGCTACTAAAACAATAGTAATTATTTTTTAATGTTTAACGTTAAATATCTTTTAAATACAAAAGTAATAAATAGGGTGTTCCATTTAAACCTCTTCATTTTTTATCTTTGCAAATGCAACACACTAAAAAATATTACAGCTTTATAGCTTGTACCTTCTTCTTTGCGGTAGTAAAAAAAATATTTCTAGATGTCTTAGTTTTTGTGTAATAAATTTTTATGTTTTCGTCAAAAAAATCGTCTTATTTTTAAAACTAAGCAAAATCGAATAATAAAAGTTAAAAACATTGTCATAGAAATCTACATAAAAAAACGCTAAGAAACATATGGTGTTTTATTTAAAAAACACAAGTTTATATTGTAACTTATTTTTGAGACACGCTGTATAGTTGAAAATAATTTTAGGCGATGAACTAGATTACCATCTATCATCAATGTTCTATATAATTTTTTTTTAATGTTACCATTTAAACTAATGGACTTTTTCAACTCGCCGGGACACCCTGTATGTAGTTACAATTTAGGATACAGCTTTTTTGTTTTCTCCTTGAAAATTATTTTTCCAACAAAAATAAATAGTCACTGCAAAATTTAAACTTTCGTAACTTCGAAATTTTTATAGATAGATTTTTTTAAGATTTTTTTCATATTTTTGGTATCTTATTTTACTTGGCATTTTTCTTTCTTTTTGTGTTTTCACAAGACATCTTGTATAAATTTTTGAATTCTTGAACGCATTTTACTTTAAAAAAATTGATCCTATGATAATATT